CAGTTCAGTCTTATAGAATAGAAGGTGTGAGTGTGCGGGCTTTGGTGCCCGGCCGAGTGACTGGTCGGAAGCTTCTCGTAGAGAAATAAGGACAGGCTTGGTCGGTCATGTCCACGGGCGTGACAGGAACAAGCTAGGCGGCAGGTTAATTACTAAAGCAGTAAAGCATTTTTATGGCTCGAGAAGTGTGGGAGTCAGGGCCTTTCCAGAGGTCGAAGCTTTGGGCTTTAGTGCAAGTTAATCGGTACAGCACAGTAAACTCCATCACTACTACTGCTGTCTATGTGTTTTCATCCCAGTAGATGGAGTCTTGGTGGTGAGGTCAGGTGACCTGCTGGCAGCTGAGTCCAGGAACGCGTGGTTGACGGGGATCGATATAGCGGGCCGGTATTTCTGGTCACGTGCCCTTCCCATCTGGGTCTCTTTTTCTTTTCTCTATGTAGCTGAAGTCAAGGCATCATGAGTCGACTATTTCGATCTCATCGGGTCTATCTCAGAGAGATCTTCATTCATTGAATCCTCATCCAAGAGGCTAGATCCTAGAATGTGACTTGTGGGGGGTATCGGAGGCTTAGCAGGTCCCTGATCAGATTTAGTGTCTGGATGTTAACACATGCAGTTGAGGCTACTATAGAGGCCTAGTTAATTGGCAATATCTTGCCGCAAAGGAGTCTCAGCAGAAAGACAGCAGCACGCTCGCTCGGTGTTCCGCTAAGGCATCAAGGGTAGGGTGGATACGTGGTATACCCGCGAAGATCGACAGGTCAAGCCGGACTAGAACCTGCAAGAAAACGCCTGCGCCGCTCGGCTCGCGTTGTCCAAAAAAAGAACCAATCGCGAGGACTGCGAGAATAGAGCAACGAAGCAAGGCCAAAACGAGAAAATCACAGATCAGGTGTAAGTGGGTGTTTTCCTTGAACTCAATCGCTTTATGGCCATTTATAGCTCGTGGTCCTATATATAGTGGATCAGGAGATATATAAGCCGTGTGTTGTGTCGGTGATAGAACATTCACAGCGTGTGTCACACATTCTGTACATCCTTTATTTCTTTCGGCGTAACCATGTCCTATCGCTCAGTGATTGCTTGACGTAATTTCCCAGCGAGCTGGCAGCCCAATATGTCTTAAAGATTGTCACGGCCAACGCACCGTAATAGATTCAAAAATTAACGATTTTACGATACACGTAGGTGGAGGCATGTAGATGACAGAGAAGGTAACATAGGATGTTGAACGGCCGCGGCCGCAGCAGTTGAACGCGCTCTATAGGATAAATTGGAGGCAGTGTAATCTGTGAGGCTTTATAACCTGTTAAACCATCCTCGTGTGCTATCTGCCACTGTGTGCGCTTTGGCCTTCTACTTTTTACTTTCTTTTCATTCATACCGCGTATTATCGGCCTTCTGCTGCGCAAGGAGAATAGCGCTTGGCAAGCTGGCAGGCACCCTTAAACTAGCTAACCTAGCGCTGGATCCGTAGGGCTTAGTGGGCTCCGCGAGCGATTCCGTAAAAGGCGTTGACCGATGAAATTTAGTTCTTTAATTGAACGATATTTCGTGGCGTCCTTGGTGTGAAAGCGCTTGATTTGCTGGTCGGTCGGCGAGAAGCCTGATGCCTCGAAGCTATTTTTAAAATATCTATGGTAGATGTTTCCGCGCGCTTCAGTGTAGGCCATCGTGATATGAAGCCTATCGATATGATTATAGCTGGTACTCGCTTGATTGTCCAATAGGTGTTCGTAGGCGCGTTCTGATATAGGAAGATAGCCTATATCGAGAAGCTGTAGTAGATGTGATAAATTGGTTCACTGAGTGGTATAATCGCGGTGTCGGCGCAGATTCGGTCGAAGTGAAGGGTCAGATAGCTACCATGCCCGTCGAGGATTTAATGCCGGTATTTACCACGCGTACGCATAGTAGTCGCTGGGATAAATAGCTTTCGTGGCCACCAGAGGCCGATCTCGTCGGTAATCCAGCCGTTCTGCGAGACCTCGACAAGCTGATCGCCTAATAGGCCTTTAAACCATCCTTGTAGCGACAGCCGCTTGCATTGGTTGATTTGATCGATTTCATGGCTATAAGTAGCTCGCCTTGCGCTGCCCACCTGTTCTGGAGATCCTACATCCCTATTTTCGATGAAACATGTTTTATTCGTACTGGACTTCTGTTGTTTTAAAAGCTTAGCTCAAGCTGCACCGCTCGGACTCCTGAGCTCCGTATAAATATGATTGCTTCTCGAGGTCGTCCAGGTGGCTGGCCCGGCAAGTGAACATAATGTGCATAGCGACGTCTCGATGGCGTCACTGATGGACAATGAATAATCTTGAAAGTTGTGCATCGAATCCTCCTCACGCCATAAGCGCATCAGTCCTTTTTATCAAACCTGGTAAACTCTCATTGGGGTCTCGCGAGTCTCCGCCTTTTGGCCCCAACGTTAAACTGTTGCACACATAGTAGGCTCAGCTGTCGCTGTAATATTCCCTGGTTCTCATATCTAACGTTGGATTTATCGACAGTGAAACCCACTGCGTGCTGCCGAACACCTAAGGTAGCACGTACACAGAGCTCTCTCCGCGTCACAATCACCTAGACGGCGTCCCAGAAGCAGCAAGGCACTATTGAAGATACTTTATGCCTTATTCGGCACGAGATCGTCAATCAACAGTCTAGCTATTGACCAGGATTTCAAGTTGTGCGAGAGAATTACGCAGATCCCTCAAATTTTGTTCAGTATACCCAGAAGTCGAAAGAACAAGACGACTCAGCCCGGCCAATTTCGGAGTAGAGTGGATAAACCATGGGGTGAATCCTAGAGTCCCAGGATAGCTTGTTAACCAGCTTGTTGGATTTTGGAAAATCTTTGGACAATCTCGTATGTGAAGCACTTTCACTTCCGTTGGCAATTCTGGAAGGATTCTCAAGTCGCTGTCCAGCTTAGAGTTCCATTGATGACTAGAGTTGTAGAAGAGGTTTGCTCGACCAACCCCGTCATAGCTTTTCCAGCTTCTTCTTTCAATCGGGTAATCCCTGGAATGACGCTATTCTCGACAGCGTGATCTTTAATTGAGAGACGGAGAGAATCATCGCCCTCCGAACAGACCAAGAAATCTTCGAACTGTATTGACAGGTCTACGACCCAGATCCGAGGTTCTCATATCCGTTGTGAACTTCGGCAACTTGACGAATATAGCCCTTGCTTAGCTGCGTTTCATTGAATTGAAGTTTTCAAGCAACAGGAGAGCTTCTGCAGCCCGAAAGTAGACAGAGTGCAGCATGTGAAACCTGTTATAAAAGCTGCGGGCCTTTCGATGTCTGTCAGATTTCGTGCCTTCACGAACGAGATATAAAGCGATGACACCATTAGATGTAAGGTTATCGATGTCATTATTAGAGGTATCCGTTTTGTCATTGCATGAAGAGACAGGAACCGTTGGGGTGCGTAAGATTTCACTGTAAGTAGCGACCAGTTCAAGATCGGAAAGGACGATACTGCGGAAGCCTTGTCAATGAATTGCTTTGTGCATACATTCCTCTGGCTTACTCTCTGCTTCCTGCCGTCTCACGCGAGGCAAAACCGTCGATTTGAGTAGTGGCCCCTGGCTGCTTGGGGTCCTGGATGCTCTGGGAAAATGTTGGTAGATTCCGGGACCGGTTATAACAGAAGAATGATATCAATATCACGACTAGAGATATAAAAGGCAGACGAAGTCGATTGAAGGCCATATCGGCGGTCTCTGCGAGGATGGGAAAGGGACAGTCGCATCGCTTTAAAACAATTGACAAACTAAAGGAGTGGTAGATTACCACTAGTACCCTTTCGGGTATGACTCGATCCGCCTCCTATTTGTATGGTAACATGCATTCCTCCGCAACCGCTTCCCGCCCTCACCGCTCGAAATGTAGATACTTTGGAAAATGCGCCAAAAAGTCCAACCTAGTGTGTCAAATAAATTTGAAGAAAATCGTAAAATTATGATCGATATCTGTGTTATATATTTCTTCCGATATGATCGAAAATTACCATTAGCTCTGGGGATGTTTCACTGTGGGCTTCACATTGAGGTTTCCGTGGCAGTTCTGTTATCCATCCATGGTTCCAAACCAAGTATCTACTCTGGGGGAAAACGTCATAATCTTGGTAAAAAGATGTATCTAAACACAGTCCAAGCCAAAAGCCTTATTCTCCTCACTCTCTACTACGCGCTGGCATTACTCTCTCCTCTCTCATATTTCCCTCGCTTATTAATGGAAATTTATACCATTGCGTCACAAATAGAATGTAACGGAGCTGTACCGTATCAAAATAAGCGTCTAATTAGTAGTTTTCATTAATACCCGGGTAAATGGGGTTGTAGAGCACCATACAGGTGGTAACCAGACTGGTATCCAGTCCTATATTAGCTCTACTATGGATACAATCAATGCCCCTCTCAGTTATCGTCCCTTGATACAAAGACGACAAACACAGACATACGGCTACCCCGAGGTGACGCCCAAACTATCTCCTCCAAACCACGAGCTTATTAGGCAATGATGCCAGTCTTGAGCGATCCTGTAGCCGTAATGGCTGCGCGGCAACAACTCGCGATCATTGTACTCTAACCGAATAGCTTGATGATTTCCAGTCCCTAGCCAACTTTATATACTTTACGATGTATCCGTGGTGAGTTCCACGGCTGTCGGCGCAGCATATGGACTACAGTTGACGGGTTTCTCCATGGTCACGAATGTACGTAACCTACATTGTCCCCTTAATAATGTGACATATAAGCTCACATACATACATCTGTTACCTCAATGTCAGCCCTTGCTGCCTCCTTGCTATCTCCTTGCTTCTTCCTCCCTTGCTCCATTCCTTTCTTCCTTCCCTCCTTCCACCTGTCTGCAATCTATTACATAAACCCTTTCATAGCACCCTGATCATCGTTTTGTCTGTTCAACAGTCGATAAGCCAAGCCTGCGTATAAGGAAAAAGATTTTGCCGCGACACTGGTATCATAATGTTCGAGTCTATCCTCGAGTGCATCTTCGGCACGCTGGCAAACAGGCCATCCTCTCCTACCGACTCCCGATCACCCGAGTCCGTCGCTTCCGATATTGTCACCAAAATTCTCAATGCTGATTCCCGCGATTCACTCGAAAAACAGATGAAGGAGGTGATTTCCACCAAGGGTTGGTCGGACGCTATAGCACGGGCCATGCTCCAGGGCCTAGAGAATGCAATTATGACCGGTGCGGAGATGGCACGGGCAGCAACTGATGCTGTTGCCCAAAGCAGAGAGGCTGCCACCGAATTTGCAACGGTACATCCTATTTACGCTACACTGCTTGCATTAGGTGTGTTGGCAATATTAACACCGTGGGCTCTGGAGATCCTCGGTTTTGGGGAACTTGGCCCAATTGAGGGCTCATTCGCGGCCGCATGGCAGAGAAGATATGTTGGCTATGTCCCTAAGAAAGCTTTGTTTGGCTACTTCCAGAGGCTAGGGATGAAGTGGCACTGGACTCTTTGAACGGCACCTGTCCACCACAAGGAGATTTATTTGCCGCTTCCTCTATTTCCTGGCCTTGTCATCCTTCGCTTAGGCTTTCCTTTCCGCCTCAAGCTTTTGAGCAGCTGCCTTTTTGTGCCTTTGCTTGTGCTTTCTGCTCTTCCCTGCACTTCTTTCTCACCTTCTCTTACGCCTTCACTTAAGTCTTCCATTTCGCTTCGGGTGTTATTGCCGCTGCCCCTTGCACCTGACCCTTTGCTTGTTGTGCTTTTTTACACTTCTTGATAAATTCCTTTGGCGAATCTGGTTTTGATATGATTGTTTGACTTGAACTTTGTCCAAGCGAGCCGACCACTTCCCTCGACTTAACAAAGCTCTGTTGTGGACCCTCTCGCAAGCTTCGCTTTGGTAATTTTGTTTATCGACAGTATTCGTAGGCTTAAATACCCAATATTTAGATACTGATATAATCGGAGTAATGAGATTATCACGTTAAAACAAAGTGCTCCACAGCAGCTTGAAATTTTCTGAAAACACTTTGCAAAGTTGTATCGTCTTGGTTCTATCTGATATTGGTCAGGGGAGAAAAGATATTAATATTGATAGATGTGCGATGAATGAGAAGCACTTCTGGATTCAGGAGGCCACTGGCGATATACTAACCCGTGCAACCGCCAACGAATCAAGGGGCTATGTTGCCAAGCACAAGCTAATGTAGTTTTATTGATTGGGCAGCAACGGACGTGTAGACATCACGGTCCCTAGGAATCTTGAAAAAAAGTCCGGGATCATAAAATGGTTCGAGAACTGGCCATTGGTTGGTTGACTGGTTCATCATTGACTAATTCCTTTAATCCAATCCAAGCCTGAATTCTCGTTATGCCACCAAAAGCGATACCTATTATATTTCTGTATATTTTGTTGATATCACGTGACCCTGGATGGTCCTGAGAGTACCCGAGGGTTCGGAGCTTCTCTCCTTCCCCGTCCGTCCGTCTCTCAACAAAAAAAAACTTACGTTATTGCTTGTTTCTTTGCCCTTTGTCAAGAGTTTTGCTCTGTGGTCACTTTTTCACACCGCTCTGCGCTAGTTATATATTCCCTACGAGATAGATCTACTATTTATATTTCTTACTCTTTAAAGCTTTAGATTTAAATTTACTTCATAATGCTTGATATCCGACCTCATTCTCCCCCGCTCCCTCCAAGGCGTGGTAGCGATTCTAGCCTCAATTTCACGCCAAAGACGCCGCCGCGTACGGTGAAGGACGTTCGCCGACAGGCTTCTCCTATTAAGAAATTGCAGCAAGAAAATCCATCGCGAGCAGATAAAGCGTTTAAGCAGATCGTGAAAGGCGCCCATTTAGCTATACAAAGCGCAGCCATACTACGCCAAGAAAACCAAGAATTACGCACCGCTAATGCGAGAACCACCCAAAAAAAGAAGCGTACAAGAAAGCAAATAGCTCATGAAGGTGGCATGTCAGTTTTGGAGGCTATAGAAGTAGTATCAGGTCTAGGAATAGCCGATGAAGTAGGCCCAGGTGGTGATGGCGGTTCATACCCGACGCCGAATCCGGCCAATGAGAGGAGGCCACAGCGATGCAGTCTTTGTAAAACGCCTGGACATAAGAGAAATAGGTGCCCAGGGAGGTCTAAATAGCTTCATTTTTAATTATATGGCGTTGTGATGCAAATCTTTGCAATTTAACGGTAGCATTTTTGGTGGGGTGGCCAGCTCGCTTGTGAAATACGTTACGACTAGTTACCATTCTGGTTACCTCCTGTATGGTGCTCTACAGCCCCATTTACCCGGGTATTACTGAAAACTCCTAATTTGTACTAGAATAACGTGGCAATTGTGGGGTGAGAAAGGATGGAAGGGTTTAGTTGGTGACACAAGTTACGGAACGTACTGTAGCACACCTGTTGCGCAGGGTCCAAAAACAGGAGAGACCCCATCTCCCACCTCAGAGGATTGGGCTTGAACGATACATACATATACCAAGATACGCTGTTAAAAACACGGAAAGGGACCTGGAAGAAATCCACGCCCTAAAACTAGAGCAGCACATATCCCACCGCGACGAGATCTCACTCGAGACATCGGGCAACCGCTTTATCTGTCGCCCTGCTGAAACCGACTATCTCCTCGGATCCCGCCCACATCATGTAGCTAACATCCCGCATCGCCTCTAGCAACCAACCACACAACATCTCAGACCCGTACCGGGTCACACACATGCGCCTAACAGCCGGAATCAAATTCCACAAGGGAGCCGCCCATCGGCCAGAACCTGACGCGCGCATACGTCGCCTCGTTCGCCAAATGGCCAAACGCTCAAAGCAACCAAACAGCCCGCGAAGCAGATCCCTCTGGGTCACGGATGGGTCTAAACTGCCTCAATGGTTCAAGGGGACTACGGTGAAAAGTATCTAATGCGACAGCTCATTACGTACCGGGAGCGAGGGGTTGCGGGGGCGGCGAGTGGTCATATCCGGTAGTGCAGAAGAGACGCGTCGTGGTAACCTGATGCAGGAAGCGGCTACAGTAGTTGGTTGGTTAATGTCATATACCCTGGCCAGTTACAAGGAAGAGCGATATGCAGAATACGGACAACTAGATAACTTTTCGAGGGGTGGCACGGAATAGAGAAAGAGTATTTCGCCTAGGCCCATCCCTGGAAGGAACTCCAAAAAGACCGGGTTGGCATCGATGCTCTCAAGGGCTTCTTGGGTCAACTGCTCTATGATCATATCTGATCCGAATTCCCAGCTGTCATCAAAGATATCGAAGGTCTATCACGCGAGACAGAAAAGGACTTGAAGCTTCTGGGCCTTCCACGTCAATCGGGCACAGACCAGAGACGGTCGGGTTACACAGTACCCGGCGACGGGCCGCAACCGCACAACCACTGCGGATTCACTTTGGTCTCCACAACGGGGATTAACGCCGGACACCACGAGAAGGTATGAATTCATTGTCCCAACAGCTTGGCGAGCGCTGCTGCCTAGTGCGAGCTCACTGGCGGCCACCAGCACTACAGACGATGATGAAAACAGTTCCAGCTCTTTACTCTCTTGAATTCGACGTTGAACGCTATCTGCATAACACCATCCATCCCTTTTATGGTTAGTTAACCCCAGACAGATACAAATAAATTCTAGAGTGACCGCATACAGATACTACCGTACTGCACACGAAACTTTTGTACTTTTGCACACCTGCGACGTCAACGGCGTCTCCATGACCACCATATATCCAGCTATCTCGCACCACTGTTTCCGCTTGAAAGGAGAGGACGGTCATGACATGTTATCTCCAGAAATTTAGGAACTGCTCGGATTCGAACTTCGGCACAAGGTGCTTATAAATCTCGCTCTTAGAATTCATTCTTCGAGCGACGCGCAGACCCGTTTGTTGTCGCTTTAGGTGATGAGTCTCGCCTTTTAGGAGCAGTCGTTAATATTGGCCGGATACAGGCTGATTTTGCTCATAACATTGTTCACCTTCCGTAAGCTTTCCTCCGAATCAAGCCAGACAGCACCCAGGATTGCCTCCACCGTAGTAGCTAATGCATGATCTGGCACCCCTCTCTCAAGGTCTAGTCTTTGGTGGATGAACTTCTGTAAACCCAAAGCTTTAGCTCGAGAAGTCAAGTGCTTATTGCAGGCGTAAGCCTGGAGGAGATTTGTGCCTTGCTCTGCGTGGTGTCAATACAATGTCCTCGATAGCAGGAGCAGACTTACCAGTGGTGTTACCCTCGCAGTACCAACGACGAAGTAGCATAAGCGACAAAATCGTGTCCCCTAACAAGGCCAACCTCTCGTTCCCTGCGGTTCCCGGTCCGACCTCTTCTAAAGCCTCCTCCATCAATCCTCGATCTTGAAAATGATATCCAATTAGGCACTCAAGTTCTGGATCCATCCGGTATTGATTCAATGTTATAAAGCGCCAGTCACGACAGTCGTAGGTACCATATCTAGGACGCAAGTTGGCTTTCGGCCGTCCTCGTGAGCTATATAACAATCTGTCGCCGTGACCTACGTCTGAATGGTCTTACGTCGGTATGACCGTTAGATGAAAAGTAAGCACCAATATGGTTCGTGAACCAATCGGACCTTAGGTAGAATATACTGTATATCGCCACCGGAGGAGCCGAAGTGTATGACGTGGATACATTCATCCCCATACGAGCCAGAGCACCTGAGTGAATCGCATTCGAGAACATGAAGTTGGAAGCTTGAGCATGTCAGACTGCTTCAAAAAGTCGACATGTCCGGAGAAGAATTAGAACTTATTGAACGATGTCGATATTTGAGAATGGTCGACCTATTACCTCTGATAGTGGTTTTGCACAGATGGGTTGCGAAGCGCTAGCATCTAGATTATCTGACACAAGTGACGATTCATAACAAATGTGGTCTTAATCGACTTCCGATCCTTTAAATGCCGGAGGCATATGTGTCTTCGCCATCCATAGATTTTCTTTGAAGAAGTACAGACTGGCAATCGCGGCAGTGTTACAGTCACCACTGCTACGCAGCATCACATGTGCTTCTCCAAATGGATTTGACTGATGATTATATCTTGTATCTCGAGAGTACCACACCTACAGATATGTTGTATGTGAGACGCCCTGGTTCGATCTCAGCCAAATAAGTGGAAGGGAGAATGCATTGGCCAGTCTCTACGGGACCATGCGTCGAGAGATAACCGAGTAAGGGCTAAAGCCAAAAGATAGGGTTGTATTCTACACAAAGCCCTCATAACACGAGTCAATACACATGGCTTATGGAAAATGGAGGAGTGAGATGGAACTACGAGTGACTGAAGGTCTGTGCAGTTCACGGCCTTCTACGCCAGCCGTTATCTAACCGCGGCTATTCTTTATCGAAGCCATTAGGCCATTGATCACGTTACTTTCAGACGTTCTAGTGGGAAAAATGTAAGTGAAGTCAAACGTGTCCTTGATAAACAAGATATCGCCTTGATAAACAAAATATCGAACATGTGCAGTTAGCTTACCTCACGTTCTGTAGGCATCCTCACGAACAGACACGGCAGGGGTTGTGGAATTGGAAATGATAGGCGGCCCCAAATTGAGGCAACAAAATTACCAATCCACTCACCACCCTTAGCAGAGAATTCCGGGGGCTGGTATTAAATCGCAAGCGAGAGAGATTCAGCTTTCCAGGAGTTTCCATGTATGGTCTACCTTACTTACCAATGAGTTCAGTGGTGAGACATGGTCGACATGATCACGCGGACCGTGGTTGAACTGGCGGCGGTCTTTTTCAGCGGTCCTTCCACGAGTCCGGCAACGGAGTCGATCTAGCGATGATATTTATTGTAGGCCGCATTTTGCGGTGTGTAGACCGGCAACATTTACAGCACACGGTTGCGCCCACCGCGTCCTGTTAGGAGGCCGTTTCGGGAATGTCGGGACGGCAACCGCAGCCTGAGTATATACGATATGTATATATAGAGACATGGCGGTGATTTTTTGTCAATTGTAAGTAGAGTTAGATCCTTAAAATGGTATCGCAGATGCCAAAGTAGTAGGGTATTGTGGAGAGGAGTACAGCGTGAATTGAAATCAATTCTACGATGTACTCATGGTTTCATGAACTCGATTTTACTGGGCGCTATGCCGAATCAGTTTAGTCAAAACCAGGCCCTTGGCTGGCTATTTCCTTATACGGCAATTGCAGATAGACTAGGCCAGCCTTATGGTTGCGACCAAGGCAGAAAATAAAGACTGATGCAACAAAATTATCAACCAGTGTTGTGGTTACTATTCTGTCAGGTGAGACACCTTGTGAGTCGGATTTGTATTCTTTTACTGCAAACATTGTTGTACTCACTCTCCGTCTTTCTCAACTAGCTCTATAAATAAATGTGATAGAGTTTTTCGGTAATTACACTTTGACGCTTTTAAGAACACGTATTCAAGACGATCCTCACTAGTCCGTAGATATTGTTCTCGGAATTCCAACCAGAGTGGATCTTCGGTTGCTGGCCGTGGATAGAACGGCTCGGCGTGCCAAAAAGCCTTAACCGCTTGTTGGACCCCTGCTTCATCCATGGATATATCTCTACAAAGACCAAAATCAAGCATCCACATGCAATGATCACCAAGCACGTTTGAAAAGGTGTCAGCCTTGATAGCCTCACCCCACGGCGGCGCAAGGACAAACTCAACCCCTTTTCCATCGATGCTACCAATCCAATGCATAATAGCAAGGGCCTCGGCCATTGTGCGCGCGTATTGTTTTATATGCGCCTCAGGAACTCCAAGCTTCTTCATCTGATATAGATGTAGAGGCAAATCCACCTGCGAGCATACCTGCTGCCCGGGCTCTAAATGGATCTCTTGTGGCTGGCAGCAACCGAGGTACGGTTTGATGAGGCATTCCTTCAGTAGAAACGAATCAGGCGGTATTTCCTGGGAACAATAGCTATGAACAACTAGGAGCATTGTATCTTTGGGAAAGGGAAGGACGCGCTCAGCCAGTATGCAGTTGCCGGGTGCCCACGGGGTTGGAAGTCTTTTAATTATCCTGTTCCACCAATCTTCGTCTGCGGCCATGACCAAGTTATAGCAATCCGGCACTTGGATTCGGGGAAATGTTGATAGACTCTGGAAGCTTTCCACGACTCTTTCGTGCATCTTGAACTCATTCTCCAGTGATTGGTCGGTTTCATCGTTTCCAAATTTGAAAGCAGGGCCATCTCCTTTCGGCGCCCAAGTGGTGCTGCAGATGCCGGCGCCGATAATGCTCAATCTCCTAACGCCTTGTGTCTCTGTATGTGTGTCACTCATGACTTTGAACTTTCGATGGTATAACACGTGGAAGTGGTGAGATAATGAGCAACTGAATGGCGATCCCGAGGATTTCTTCACCGTCTTTAGTGTTAACAGTACCCTGCAGTCATTGCTGAGTGATGCACCAAACCCCTCTGCTTAGTCATAAGTTAGGCGCGTTTGGTCTTCACCTAGTTGTTGATACTTTCCAACGTGATGCCCAACGTAAGGCACCGTGCAGAGAGCTTGTATCAGAAATAAATGAGATATGCGGGACTCACATAGTGCATTGGGTTTCATAGAACATATATCTATATATATCCCTGATACAATGTATCTCTCCAGGTCGGACAAACTACTCGCATGATTCCCAGGAGTATGTAAGCTATAAATATCAGGAATAGTCAGATATACCTCATAAGAGTACCTCCGTCGTTTCCAACAAAACCACCTTGTCCGTGATGTTCTCAACCCTTGAGAGGAGAACAATTCTACTGCATCCGCTGCGAGCTCAACTTTAGTGCCTCTTCCGCCAGGCTGGAGCGTATCAATCATTGTTCATGTCAAAATTTGTGCTATATCTGTTTCCCACTACTGGAGTTCGCGAACATGGTTGAGCTTGATGGGCACTTTGGGACTGAGCACAACCTCTGTATCCCCTGCAACATTCAGTTTGCAACACCTGATAAGCTTGCTCAGCACGATATTGGAGAGCATAATATGTGTGTGTCTTGTCAGCAATTCTTCGATTCTCTGTATACTTCAATTTTGAACCAATCTACGAATCAGTATGAACTCGCCGACTCATACTATATATTCAGACGGCGCAGTGATCATAATACGCAATGTGAACAGTCCGTTTGCACAACTGGCTGGAAATACATTTACTAGTAGAGACTCTGACGTCTTTCCTTGGTTGTTTGGTAATGCCCAAAGTTCTCATGAGACGACCGAGGCAACTAAAATTCTTCCCAAACAGTCTGTGCTGAGTCTCAAGGAAAAGCGAAGGAATTAGAAGAAGGAAAAGAAAAGAAAGGAAAGGCTGGCGCTATTCTGACCGCTCTTGAGTCCACTTGTCAAATGAAGAGCCCGCTGCTGAAGAGACTGTTGCCGAAGGAGAATTCTCCGAATTACCCGTCCACAGTTGCTTACGTATTCAGGTGTCTGCGGAGCATTTAGTTTGCCTCCCCGGTTTTCAAAAAAAATACTGACTGATGGCTGGAAGGAAAGCATTACTTACTTTCAAAAAGACTCAATTGAGGTCACTGCAGCTACCCCCGAGGGATAGGGCTGAAGGATGTTAAAGTTGCTTGACCCCAGCGGCAATGGAAAGTCATCCTTCAGGTTAAATTTTGGCCCAGTCTCTCTAATATCGATGGACACAGGCACCGCTGCAGAATAGTATTGATCGAATTGCTGGGCAAATTGTGCAGCGCAAGCAGACTGGTGCTGTTTCTGTTGTTGGGCTGTTCTTTCTTCAGCAGACGCATATTTCTGAGGTAGACCTAGTTTGGGTTTGGAAGGGCAAGAATGCGGTAGTACCATAACGAGCTATTCAATCTTAAAGAAAAATAAGGCAGCTTGTGGACCGCATGCGGTGATCTGGTGGCCTCATATTATGAGTAGAGCTTGCTGGATAAAATTGATTGAGAAGCAACAGTCGAGACCTCAAGATGAGGACTGCATTTGTGACTCTGTTAACGATTCTATATGGTTTGCTAGTATTAAATGATAGAGCCGTGCGATGGTTGCAAGCCACTAAATTGACCTTGGTCTCCCTTCTCTGAAGCAACTTCACAATGCGCGGCCCATAACGGGCAATGAAGCCCGTGGTATAGGTTGATTGGCACGTTCTCTCGTTCCAGAAGCAACTTCGTTGTCATTTCATGGCCTTGCCTGGCAGCAGCAAGGGGGGTCTGCCCGCCACATTTCAAATTTTGGTCAGTCCGCTTGTGATCAAGAAGGAGTCGTACCAGGCCAGATTTGCCAGTAAAGCAAGACCATAAAAGAGCCGTGAAGCCTCGGTTATCAGGTTGATTTGGGTCCACCTCGCTATTTCGCAGTAACAACTGCACCAATAATTCATGTTTGTTCTACGTGGCAACCAGTAATATGTTTCCTTAACATCCACTGACGTTCGAGTCAGCCTTACATTCGAGTAAAGGCAACGATAGACACCCTTCCCGGAAGGGTGACTGCGGCATACAAAGGGGGAACCAAGAAAGTTATCCCAAGAATTACTCAATTGCCTTGTTTTACCAGCGACTTAATAATGCTTTCAGGGCCCCGATAAGCGGCCACGGCCAATTTGCTTTAAATAAATCGACACCGCAGTTGTTCTCGACATGGGTGTCCCAGCCATTCACATATTGGAAATGCTCCCTGATATGATACCGCAAGGGCATAGGCAGCCCACAACTCGAGATGGTCCACCTCACTTAAAGACTTTGGGACCATACAATCATCGTACTGGAAGGCCACTTGCGCTGTATCCCCTTCCAAGAGAATCGTTCGGTATAGCGACCAAGTTACTGTTTTTTGGTTGGTCCGCGGAGCTGTCTTAACGATACGATTCAAGTCCAGTTTTCCGATTGCTAGACGCGAAACGACAGCATCACATCTCCTGTCAGAGCAAGCTAAGACAGTATGGACTATTATGCGGCAGAGCGAATGGGATCAGAGATCGGTGTATAGGTGGTCTTGGTCTAACACAGGAAAACATGTGTAGAGCGAGTGGATCTAACTGTGGCTAGTAGCTGGCTGGACCGTATACGTATCCTATTTTTGACATCTCCCTAGGAAGAAAGAAATTGTAGTGTGCGATTATAGATGTGGGAAGCAACGATAGATGGCTGACAAGTCTTATCACCAGGTGGTCACGGCCCTCGCGGGTAGAGTTTCAATGTTGCGGAAGAAGAGCGTCTGTTATGAGGCACAACTTCCGTAGGCACGTTCCGAAAGACGACTATCTCATCTATGAGTCGAGAGGAACTTCTTTCCCGAGTCGCGTGAAGACTAGTCTAATTAACGTGCAAATCAAAAGGGATTGCCTGTAGTTATGTCTTCAAGGGGCAACGGGGAAACCTTCACCAGTATGAAATGGGTGCGGGTGCATCCTACGCCACGTTAACCCGATTGGCTTGCTTCGTCAAATGGTTAGTTACTACACCAAAAGACCTGGACCTTCTCCACCTTGGATCACAGTGACTCTCCTGGTCAGTCACTAGGAGCATCGATACAGCTGGTCAATTTTCAGACCTTCCCAAGCCCGTTCACATCTACGTCTTATCGAAAGTAATGTCAGATCTACCCCGCGGTCGGGGTTGACGGACCTTTAGGCAGAGATTGTAGAGAGATTGGCTGCCATTTCAACAGTGGGCTTGCAAGCGAATAAACTCAAAAAAGGCGAGTCTAGCCATATAACTCAAGTTTTCTCTTGCGTAATCTGTGCATTGTGGCTATCGAATGCAGACAGGCTACAAACTTTGAAGATTTGATGACAGGAGCAAAAATGGCCCAGTCTGGATGATCAAAGAAGGCGTTTTCTTATCGGAGCCATAACAAGCACCATCTCACCAGATAGATCTCCTTTCCTGTCCCTCCAGTCTTGATACCTTCGTTGAATGCAATGCACATGTAGCTTTCGAACTGTTCTCTTGGCTCGTAACACCTTACCATACACCTTATTGGATTGAGCCCTTCGGTTCTGGGAAGCCGTGTACCAAAAGCTTACTTCATCACCGTTAAGGTAACGTATTCCACTAGCGAGCTTCAGCAACAAACGCTTTTATTTAATTTCATTACTCGCTGATAGCAATTGATAAGCATTTTTAGTATCATGTATCGGTTTTGAATAAATCGAGAACTTGTATTGTTATGGTATTGAAAAATACATCGCCGAACTCCAAAAATATATATATCTTAATCACTAATACATTAAATTCCCCTAAACTCTAACAAGTGGCTAGATATCACATAAAAAGCATTAGGCTACAAGGGAAAGCTTATATAGATAATCGTTGTTGAAATATCATGTTGTAATTTATCGCTTTTACTATGTGTTCTGGGCTGCGCAGCTCGCCCGTGCGCGCAGCTCGCTAGTGAAATACGTTACTTCAATGTACTGTTATAGATAGATATTCAGATTTAGCCTGGGTAGGAGTGATTTGTTGCGTCGAAACAGCAATTATTTAGATGTAGAACATGGTATCCTTCACATTAGGATGCACAACAACCTGATGGCTCTCAGGCAATTGACTTCGACCACTCTCAGTTCCCACAACACTTGCCTCTGGTGTCACAGAGGGGATAGGGTCAAAAAGGTCACTCATGTAGCATCGTGCCCGTGTACACACAAGATCCGCATAGTAGGCCGGGGGGCACACACTAACCGCCTTGGTCGCACGGCCAAATAAATAGCACATCTTGTGGTCAAGTCCTGCAGGACATCTGCGGCTCCTGAAACCCCTGTTGCCGCTGGCTGATCAGTAGAGAAAATTTCGTCCCATACAGTAAAGTAGTGGGCGGGGCGGGCGGTTCCTTGAATCGCTGGGTGTGTCTGCAGGAAAAAGTCCCAGTGTCGGGACTTTGATATTCCACGGTCAACAACGGTACCGGGCATTGGGTTTGCGGAGCGATCTGCGTCAAAGTCGGCGGTAGGGTAGAAGCGAGTGTTGTGACGCTTGCCGACCACTATAATGGCCATACGGGGGAGGCCGCGGTTTGTGACGCTAGCTGGGTAAATAGTTTCACAAGCTCGTTTGAGCAGAGGGAGCTCTTTTCCAATGACAGTATCGTATTGATTTTCCGAGACACCGTCACGGTAGACAACAATATTCTCGTGATACTTGTTCTTGTTATGCTGAGCCCAATGCTTGAGACGGGACTGCAGCAGAATGTCAAGATCGGCGACCATTTCATGTCTGGAAGGCTGGAGTCGATCGCGGATCTCTTTACCTACAACATTACCTACCAGTTCTGGATCTGTAAGACCTGTCTGCAGTGATTGCCCAACATATTTATTCCCACCTGACTGCAAAGCATATCCGCTATCCCTCTGCCCGTTCAAGTACCCAGCGAGCAGCGATCCAGGCCGAGGCTTCGAAAGTCCACTTCTGGAACCCGGACACTGAGCCATTCCACCCGCCACCACCTGATGCCCGGCCAATACCCGGCTTAATAGTTTATCGTGGCTATGGTTGCCCGGTCGTAAACAGTCAATATGCGGGTCGCACGATCGAGACTATGAAGGCCCATCGTCGCGCCAAACATGGCCCTTCTGCCGCTTGCCGGAGGGCGGAGAAAGGACCAAGAGAAAGATCCGTTAGCAGTGCTACGCCCTGTTCACTGCTAGCGTCTACTTTTATATGGGACCCACAGCAGGTACTTTATCGTTACACCGGATCCGGAAAAGCGGCCAGCCTCGCAGACACTAGCGCCTGAAACCACGAGGCTGCCTTCATCCAGGACCAGATTGAAATGGCGCTTCTTCGATCCGACGGGATCGCGGTGGCAGAAGATGGGATCGCACCGTCAGAGAACGATGTGGCTAGGCTTCGCCATGGCTTGAGCTCACCCGATGGCCGGAGTACGTTCGAGGGCACAGCTTCTTCGAAGTTGCGGAACTCGCATCCCTGCCAGACCCTATACCCTAGTACATGAACAAGTCAGCCCTCGCTCGAATTACTTGTCGCATGATTGGCTGATCTGCCTGCCTCTGCTGTGCTCCCGTTTCTCCCTAGATGTATGCCCGAAAGTCTGCATGTGCTTTCCTCTAGGCTACATATCCTCTGCTCTTTCATAGTTGCTTCTTTTCAGGGCCTGTGTAGGAAAAGTATTGGCGCCCTTCCAGCTGTACGCATCATTCCTGCATGCGCTTGTCCGCGATTGGATAGAGCAAAGTGCAGAAACTCATGGTACTTGTCGATTAAGCGATAGAATGACGCGGAAGCCAGCCTGCCTTATGGACCTGGACACCTCTGAATATATATATCGCGTCAGCCCGTGGTTGCGCAGGTATGCGACCTCCCATCACGTGCACACGGATCTCCCCGCGCCGCAGCTCGCCCGCGACCCGTGCCTTGTGGCTAATAGTGTAAGATGCGCCGCCACAAGATAAAACAAATGACGTCGGCCTAGGGAAGATAGGAATAACGAATGGTTTAATCTCTCACAGGGGTCCAATAACTAGTAGGCGGCTGAGTCTATTCTGGGGGCAAAAACAATCACAACGTAGTGTATGACTCGTACTGTATTAAGATGTAATCAGATACAACATCGCGTGGTCCCTTTGATTTAGGTTGCTCACTCACCCACCCATTAATGACCCCACTAGTGGGCCACTTACCCATTCGACTAGTTACGTGTCTATTCAACCACCGCCCACTCAATCACCACCAAATCAACCAACTATTCATATGAACTGCTCGTCCACACCAGAAAGGTGCCAGCGACGCGAGGATCCGCAATTAGGTCTGCTCTTCTATCAACGTAGCGCGCCATTCTAGATTGTGGAGTAGGCGTTAAGAGAGCACTGGCCGTGAACCGCTCACTCGCTAATGCACGGTGGTCCTTTCCACGCCCTAGTCTATGATTCCTGTCTCAGATATGCCTACCTTCAGCCAATCACGGCTGCCGGGGAGGCTTGACGAATTGAGCCATTGATTGGCGGCTGATCCTTGATATGTACTATAGATTTTGGTAATACGAGGAATGAACCATCGTCGTACTTGTGACGAGCAGTTTGGTGTTCAGTATGTGAAGGTGAGGTTTGCATCCTAAAGTTTGCATGTTTGGTGATACGAGCAAAGTTACTGGATCGGGAGAGGAATGGCGCTCGTTATCGGTGGGATATATCAAACACCAACCCACCAGATAGATTCTCTTCTTCTTACTTTCTCTAGACTTGATTCCTCCGTTGAATGCACGGGATCATCCCGATTTCCTCTTCGCTGTAACAGTACTCAGGGCCCTTGAGACCTGATATTCCTGCCGCGTAGACCGAGTTCCCATCAAACTTCGTCAATATACAGTAGGGCAACTAATGGATGGAGAACAGGAACCGCGCGGCGTATTAACTGCAACGGAGGTGATGCAGAAATTGGCGAGCATCGCCGATCACCACATGCGAAATTTCGGTTGTTGGGTCAACCATCACAACCATCACATCAGTGCTGGCGGCCAATAAGAATAGTGAAGCACTTCGGATCAACACTAATCCGTAGCCCCACCCAGCCAAACAGCGCGATATCGTTATTTTGACATTGTTATGTTGCATTGCCTTTCGGATCCAGTCATTGCGCCCTTGGTCTCGTCCAACCACCCAGTATGTCTAGTTCAGCCGTGACGCCGACGATGCGCACCCTTGGCTGGAACATTGAGCTCCTGGCGACGCGCGGGGACATTCTTCTTGCCGGCACGTTTCAACCTGACCAAAATGCATTCATGACTTTCCGCGACATCGTGGATGAGATGCGATTGTGTTTCAAGATACCGCACGACGAATTGGACTCTATTAGCTGTACCAATTCTGCAGATATCTGGGATGATGTCGCTTTTGGCGTGGTGGGCTTGATAAACATATCCGACGACCACCATCCTATCCCGACCTTTGTACATAGCAATAATCTTGATCGCCCAGTCCCAGCCATTCCGCAAGGGACATCGCAGATGCCAGACGATCGGCCAGTAATTCAATACCGTGTTTTTATCCACCGGGAGTGCACCCTGTCGACTGACCACCCAGTGGACGCTCATTTCATTGGTTGGTAAACGCGCTGCACCACGTGCGTATGACAGCTTATCGCTAACCATCCCCATAGCTGGCTGCGCACAGCACATTCCCAAGCCAGTCCGCCGCGTAGAACCACGCTACCTGCCGCCGAAGAAGCCCTCCGCTGACCCACGATTCGCTGCATACCCGCTTCGAAAGACAGCACGCGCACGGAAAGGCTCTCGATCACCCTCGAAACGATCGGCATCTGGTTCTGTATCCCCGAGTAAGGACTCGGAGATCGGCCAGCCTTCGATCGATGAAGACGATCTCCCCGACATGGTTACGCCTCCCCAAGAAAACATCCAGGCCGAACGAGCCAAACGCGTCATTGCCAGATTCCGAGATTCATGTCTCGCGTCAGCTCGCCAGTGTGCGGTCTCGGGCATGGGGCGGTCATGGTACGCCAATCCGACTATCGGTCCTGCTTTACACGCATGCCATATTGTCCCGCAGCAACATTACCATTTATATCCTGACCCGGAAGCTGTTGACGGCGAAGTACAACCTCAGAGCGCAGTTTCCAGTAACCGTCGCTTGATGCAGGCCTGGGAAAATACATGGGATCCTGCCAATGGGATTCTTCTCTTAAGCCACCTTCATGAACTCTTTGATGCGCGGCTCTTTTCCATACACCCCAAAACCCTGCAGATCCGAGTTTTCATGCCATACGATGTCCTTCTTGGGTATCATGGGGCTGTCGCCAAAGTGCCTAGGTCTGTAGATCGGGCTGCCCTGCGGCATCACTACGAGATGTGCTGTATTGAGAACATGGCTGCCAAGATGGCGTATGTAGAGCCAATGCCGTGGTCAGAGAGTGTAACGATATCTGGCCAGGATACACCACCTGATCTACAAACCAAGCTGGCTAAACTATCAAGTCTAACTGTGTTGGAGTCACGTTCGGTGTCAAGAAACCCAGACAGTCATGCCGGTCAACATACTTCCGGTGATCCATCGAAGCGGGCTCGAGATACTCAGTCTCGGGAAGAGCAGCACAACTCTGAGTCAATAGATGGTTCATTGTCAAACGTCGATAGCTTACCTTCCTCTCCGCGAGGTAGATCAAGGTCAAAGACGGACGACTGGGAACTGCACAAAGTCGAAGCACTTTGCTCTGATCGGGCACGCAAACGTAAACGATCGTGCTCTGTGGACGAGCCTTTTATCGTCCAATATGATCGATATATGACACCTGTTAATGCGGAGGGATTTATAGGTGATGTTAGCTGGGAGTTGTTCAAGATTGCGAGACGTTCGTATCAGAACGAAAGGCCTAGAGGGTGATGCAGGGGAAGCATGGATCTCCTTAAAGCGCTTACAACATGGTATTCTCCTGCCATTTGCGACACGAGCGATTGTGGGGATTTAAGATCAACGATGGACCCTCACTTCGAGTAGGGAGAAGGTCGCAAGTCGGCGTGTGGTCGACAGCTTGCTGTCGCTTTGGCGAGTTTTTTCCACTCTCCATACTACTCCGACTCCTTGAAAATCTCTGTCTTTGGGGCCGGGATGGGGATGGTGGTCATGGGCGATTGGCCGCGGAAGCACTGGGAGTCTAGAGCCTACCGAGTTTTGTACCGTCGGTGTTACGGAATCATCGCGCAGAGCCCGGGACGAAACAAGCCCGGGCGTGGTCTCCACTGCGTAAGGATACATGGATCCGAACCCACTGGAGTAGTCCAATGATGATTCCCCTTTCTGAAGAAACTCCTAACACAGCGGCGAACACATGTCGACCTTGTGGGCGGGTCCCCGTAGACCTTTTGTTAATGTCCACCTCGGACTGTTGTGGTTCAAAGGAAGATTGATTGTTCTTGTTCCAGAGAGATTGACTGAGGTTATATATACAATGAGAAGATCAGGTTGTTTGAAAATCAACTTGGTTATATAGATAGTGCGGGAATTAATTCCGATGATGCCACATGATTCCTGATCTGCACCAGCCTCATATCACAGCAATTCTCTCTTCTTTGGGTCAAAACAATGACTAGAGCATGTGAAAGGAGTGACTGTAGTAGTTTGGCAGCGCCAAAGAGGCAACGCAACGGTGTGCTAGTAAAAGCATCTCTACCGCTCGATTTTCTCCAGTTGGTTTGTTTCCTAAGCCAAATCCGGGAAGTAATGTACACCAATCCCACCATGCTCGCGGCTCATATGTTTGTACACAAGATCTCCTTTCGAGAAAGACTTCAAGCACACCCAGCAGATATGGGCTCCACAAGTTGAGCAGGTCATATGATTGCAGCCGAACGTCTTCTCAATCATGATGCCACATTTGGGAGAGTCCTTGATGCCGAATTTCTTCTTGGCCGTCTGCAATGCCTGGTAACCGCCGGATGCGCAGTCACTGTGCTCCACACATGCCAGACCATCGTGTGAGACTTTGCAGGCCGTGCATACAGCCACGAGGCATGCAGGACAGATGAACAAGTGGCTTTCGTCGGTATCAGCAATGCCATCGTTGTGTCCCGCTGGAGTTGTGGCCCGATATAGCTGCCCGCAGTCCGGGGTAGGACAGTATTGCAGGTTGTGAAGATGACGGGTTACGTGAGTTGTGAAAGCGTTCTCAAGAATATCTTCAAGGACAGCAGACGGAAGGTGCGCCTGAAGTTCGGCCAAGAGGAGCACTTCATGGTATTTGCCAGCGTCATCTTGGCAACGGATACAGGCGTCAGAGTTGACACCAGCAAAGCATAGGTATTCGAAGCAGCCAGCGCAGTAGACATGTTTGCAAGCTGTGTGCACTGGGTTCTCGGCTTCCGTCCAGCAAATAGCGCAGTCGTTTATCGAGGTAGTTTCTGTCATGCCTTTGACAACAACTCCCCGCCCGGAAGGATTTCTTGCGCAGCATTGAGATCAGCCTCAGACCCTCTTCGAATCGACTCGGTGATAGTTTGTTGTCTTGGGCATCGGCGCATTGATTGGAACCGCACTGGGGGCATCATGTTTCTTCATGACTGGCAGGACTTGACGCAAATGACGCAAAGTCATCCCTTCGCGAAAGTATGGTTGTCAAGCGGAATTTCGGCGTGAAAAGGAAGCTCACAGGAGGCTGAGAAGTCTTCAGGGAGAAACGAGCCCTGAGTACTTAGGAGAAGCTTCTTTGAACGATTGTTTAGCGATTATACCATCTACTTACCGAAATGAAAAGGAGTTACAATCCCAACTTATGGGCGCTTTCAAAGCTTTATGTGAAAAAAGAAGGCCAAGTATTGGGACGAAAGACTAGATAGTTTTTGTTCTTTAGTCTGTGGCAACACAGGATTAAAGCCGAATGAAGTGTTGACTGTCGATCTCGAGGATGTCTCGTTCTCTGCCTTCTTAGAAAGAATTGGATCAGCCCTGGGAAGAAAGTCTCAACTTTGCCGCGGCGTGTTCCCTTATGAATAATCCGGAAGATTGAGGTATCTCATTGCATGGATTATTCATTCGCTTTAAAGATTGGGAATGAGCAATTTGCCTACTGTAATCTATCAGAAACATAAATATATTTGAATGTGTTAGAAAACTATTTATATTAGTCTTGCTTCACTTCTCTGTATTTTGGATGATGTTGAAGTTATCACTGGGGAAAGTAGTTAGGATGCACCTACTCCATGTTCATCCGTCTTCCGTGAGCGAAATTGCGACCGGACGAAGCAGCGCATTTAGGTCTCCGAAAGCAATAAATGAATGCGAATATAGGGCATATTCATATTCGCAAACCAAAGTCTGAAGATGTAGCATGCCTCGTCCATTACTCTCTACGACACCGAAGTAATTAGACACGTCCCCGAGGATTCCCACATCGGCGCACTTGCTGCCCAGAAGGCCGTCGAGGACTGCTTACATGTATATAATAGAAGCGATAGGGCGGAGGGGAGAGGATTGGCATTCATACCACAGCGAATGCGATTGCCGTGGAGACGATCGACCGGCAGACGGGTCTAACTAAGACGACTTTTTGGGACAATCGGGCGATCAGTAGTTTAACATCTGGTATTTCTGATCACGACAGAATCGCGTTACTTGCAAAGGGGACATGCCACGTGGTGCCCAGCCTGTCCGTCTGAATCCAACACGTTTATTGTCACGAGAGATAGAGAGGAGAGGTACGGAAGTTGCGTGTGTATGCAAGTTTCGTGTAAAATACATAGACCATTGTAGAAAGCAGCCTGAATTCAAGCGAGAATCAAGTGAGTGAAGTCAAACTGAATTCGAGATCTACTGTAGTATCGAGACATTACTTGACTTACTTCGTGGTCTCGAAATTCAATGCTCGACTATATGTGAGTTTCATTAGTTTCCAGTGTCTTCTCTCCCTCATTCCTTCCACCATCCATCCCACCTGCTTCACTCACTCTCGGTTCTCGTGTTCTTGATACAATCAAGTCCAGAATAGTATCAGATGTCAGGTTTTCCATGGAGAACTACAGAAAATTGAGAAAGTCGGCGAAGGTACGGGCTTTTGACGCGGTTTTTGGTCTTTTTTGATACCGTCCCTCGAAACTCAGCTCACGCGTCTTTTTGTCTCTAGGCACGTATGGTATCGTCTACAAGGCCCGCGAGCTGAACCATCCTTGCCTTATTATCGCTCTGAAGAAAATCAGACTGGAGGCCGAAGATGAGGGTGTTTTTAGCACTACCATCCGCGAGATCTCGCTGCTCAAGGAAATGCAGGACCCCAATATTGTCCAACTGCTCAGCATCGTCCATGCCGATGGCATCCCTGGGACTCGGCGATGCTATGGTTAAGAAGTTTATGGTCCAGCTAGTCGAGGGAATCCGCTACTGCCATAGTCGCCGCATCTTGCACCGTGATCTGAAGCCCCAGAACTTGCTCATTGACCGTGATGGTAACCTGAAGCTCGCCGATTTTGGTCAGGCAAGAGCCTTCGGTGTCCCTCTACGGACTTACACCCATGAGGTAAGCACTGGTATTCTCAAGCTACATCTCAGCTCACCGACGCATTCTATCCCAGGTCGTTACACTGTGGTATCGGTGCCCCGAAATCCTGCTTGGGGGCCGCCAGTATTCCACTGGTGTTGATATGTGGTCCGTCGGCACTATTTTCGCCGAGATGTACACCCGCAAACCATTATTCCCCGGTGACTCGGAGATCGACGAGATCTTCAAGATATTCCGGTAGATCCTTCTTTTCACTTGGTGATTGACCATTCACTAAGCGTGTTTTCCGTTATAGTGTCCTCGGCACCCCCGACGAAGAGCTTTGGCCCGACGTCACTTATTTCCAGATTGCAAGGCCACTTTCCCCAAGTGGAAGCGCCCCGATGCGTCGATTGTCCCTGGCATGGAGCCAGCTGGTCTCGAACTGCTGGATGCCCTGCTCGAGTACGACCCCGCCCACCGGCTTTCGGCGAAGCAAGCCTGCATCCACCCCTATTTCCGGAACAGCAGCTCATACTACTCGGGCCGTCTCAAGCGCAACGGTCTTCATCAAAACCAGCTGGTAAATTCTCCGATTAACTTCATTCAAACCACGTTGTAAGACTGCACATGACGTCAATGCCCTGGGTTATGCATATTTATTTCACTTTTCGTGTTTAGGCCGACGTTTTTCCAGAGGAAAGGGGGGCTGGGCTGATTATGATAGGTCAGGCTTGGTACATGTGCTTCTTAAGACAAATCCAATATGGATCATTGTCTGAGGCTTCAACTCAACGCCTTCGTTTGTACCTCACATAATCAATTAGAAAAGAAATAATGCGTACACATGTATAATTGTTGGCAAAAGTTGCCACGACGTCGAACGTGTCTCATCCAATAGCTCACTAATTAAGAAATATATAACGTATTTCATATGCAAGCTGCACAACCCAAATATCATAGTAAGCGCGATATATGCTACACCTATATATCTCAACAAGGAAATTTTTTTTATATTTGCCGATAGCTATTGATGAGCATTTTTAGTAGTATAATATAGGCCTATCTCAACATAACTTTATCTAATAAGATTCAAAATCAAAACAAAGTGTAAATCAAGCTATAAGATATAGGGATATTTAGGGGTATCGCATGGTACTAAGCGGTACCCCGGGGGGCACTTGAACTGCCTATTATGGTTCGTCGGGGAACAAATAGTAGATTCCGCAGGATCCACTCGGCCGCGGCACATAGCAATTCAGCGGCTTCGCTCCAGGAGACGGTATGCTCTGAATGTTTTAATAGTCAGCCCTTCGTTATCAACCCCTAAGTCTTATCACATATTTCCCCGTGTCTCTAATGAACAAGATGGATGCCAAGTCTGCTCTTGATGGATGTATCTCTATGAACAGACACGGTAAGGGCTGTGAAACAAGAAAAGATCGGCAGTTCTGCGCACAACCAAATGATCGCTCAGTCCCCACCCTCGATTTGCCAGCGCGAGCCCTTACGTCTGGCAGGCGGTGTGTGTATTGAAGCCGCAAAAGAAAGGTTAGACACGACAAGAGACGAACGCCCGAATTGCGTAGCCAGCCTCAAAGGTTTATAAGAACTAAGCACAAACACACTGGGAAATCACTATTCTGGTCAAGAGGAACATTCCAATGTGACCGCAAAGCGGAAAAATAAGATTTGCGGACGAAAAACTCAGGAGGTTGGTAATTAATAAGTTAAGTGACCAGATTGTTTAAAAGAGAGGGGTTCCGTTCGTGATTAGACAGGGTTGTTAACTTGGTCAATTGGTTTCTAGCAGGTAATTCTTTCCCACAGTCATTCGACCAATCTGGCCTGTCAGTTTGATTTATCGGTCCATATTTGAGGTCTCTGAGTGTTTGGTGTGCAAAAAAAGAGTGAATAAAACCAGTTCACGTTAAACCCCGAGCAGATTGTATATTTCGTCGAACCTGGGCTTAACCGTCCCTGCCATTATCTAGTTACCTGTTTATACTACAGTGCCCTCGAAGATTTACTATCATCCTCTGAGGTGACACGTTCATGTTGCCACTAACATCGTTATTATATAGGGTAGGGCTTTGCATTACCCGTGCAAGTGAGGTTGTTATTTAATTGACCTTCAACCGCCAGCACTCGGCATTTTCATCCCACAAATAAAGCAATTGATGATGATGATGATGATGATGATGATGATGATGAACTCATTTGCCCGATGTAGCTCGCTCTATATATATGCTGCTATGCGGGAGTGCTGTCAGGCCTGCCGACAGCTGCAAGGTGGTCCCAGCCCACTAGGCGATCGTCAAGGAACTCGTCTTGCGAATTTCTGATCAGTCGCCCTCGAATGGAAAGATGTAGACTAAACAAAAGAAATGCACGGATGCAAACATGGTAAACACAAAACCAAAATGGACGAACGTCATTTACCCCCTGGTCGAGGGTAGAACCCGGGCCCCACTTCAACACACACCATTCCCACGCCCTCTTCTCTCCAACCGTCCAGTCTTGTCGGCTGCCGCTTGCGCGCTCGCTTGGATCAAGGGAGTACAGCGGACCTGGCACTGCACTCCTAATGGGCGCCATCCTTCTTCTTCCGTCACACTGTCTAAGGGGTCATTATCTCTGCTCCTTTGTCGTCCCCTTCCTCGCCCAGAGCCGTAGGGTCGACTGTCTGAAACTGGCCTAGGAGGCCGGTCTTGACCATAAATTCGGCCACAGCCGTGCGAGCCTCCGGTCGTGTCAGGAGTTCGTCTCGACTAAGAGTAATTCCCTTGTCGGAAAGAGCACTTCTCATCCAGTCTCGCTTATCCTGGTGCAAGGGGCATTCCAACAGGACGTGGATCACTGTTTGGTTGCCAAGGTCGCAACCACACCGCGCTGTTTCGCGTCGGTTGATACGGTTCAGGTAAGCCCCTAGGCCAATTCGCCCAGTACGAAGCTGCATCAGAATCGATGTCGTCGCTTTGCGCAGGCCCGACCAGTATTCTAGCGTCTTCTTGGTTGGTGCTTCAATCAGGCGTCTCGTACGGGCGGCTGGTCGTTTCCTTGGCCCACGTCCTGTCCCACTCCAGCTTCGCTTCTCTGCGAATTCGCCGTTTCGCTGCGGCTGCGAGGCATATACCTCGGTTGCGAGGGTTCTGTGGGCCGTCCGGTTCCTGGGCTGCTTCTTTTGCGTGTTGGTCCACAATCTCATTGCCAATGACCCCTTGGTGCGCAGGGATCCATCTGAGCTCTATCCGGACGCATCTGCCAGCAAGCCGCTGGATCAGGTCGAGGCATCCTGCTAGATAGACCTGTCCTGACGGCATCCGCGGTCGCCTTAGCGCCTTCAGCGCTGCTTGGCTGTCTACAAAGATGACTACCCCGTTCTTCGCCTGCTTAGCCCATGGCTCTGTGCTTTCCAGAACCATTTCAAGTGCCATCTCAATGGCTCGAAGTTCTGCCGCATATACGGTGGACGTATCATCATCTCCCATCTGGCTATGAGCATGTTGATCCTCAAGGTCCACGACCGCTGCCGCTCCGATCCTTCCATCAATTCCGCTCCCGTCGGTGTACAAAATCAAGGGTCTTTCTTCTGGGTCTTTCGTCAGGATCTGGTTGTGATTGTTGACCGCAGCTTCTCTGTCCTCGATGATCACCTCTGGTGGCGCTTGCCATGGTGCCAGGACAAATGCCTTTCGACTCTCCCATCTTCTCGCCAAAGACCCCGGGGGAGCCGTGAGGCATCCGTCCGTCCTCCAGGCCTGCGCCTCCATTGGTGTCCATCCAGCCCACTGTCTCTCGTCTGCGGGTCGACGTCGCAACATCAATGGTGGGACGGCGAATATCGGTCCTGTCCGTAGTCGCAGGGCCGTTTCCTTCACAAATCGGTTCATGTGAACAGCGATAGGCGGTAGGTGAAGCTCTGTATTCAGTGCCTCTGCCGCCGTGGTTTTGAAAGCTCCACTGATGAGACATGCTGCCTGTTTTTGTATTGCCGCGAAAGGCTTACTGATTTTGTGTGCCTTGGAATTACTGATGAGCATAGGTTGGTACCACGCGGAAACCCCAAAGAGCATTTGTGGGATGATCACTGCTTGGTAAATCTTTCGCATTGCGTAGAATGAGGCTCCCCACGTTGAACCTGTCAAGCTTCGTAGTGCGTGGAGAGAGACGCCGGCCTTGGCCACCGCCTTCTCGCGGTGATGGTGGAATTCCAGACCCGGATCCAGCCAATAGCCTAGGTACCGCTCAGCTGTCCTTGTCGCTGTCACAGTGTGTTCTCGTAGAGACAGCGATGTGTATTGTGGGTCGACTTCCCTAGTGTTCACAAAATGCACGAGTGCATACTTCTTCGGGTCAAAAACTGACGCATGTTTCTCGGCCCATTGGTCGGCTTTGCGGCATGCCGCTCTGAGTTTCTTGATGGTTTCGCGTTCGCTGTCTCCCGTTGTCATGAAGCAGACATCGTCGACCCACCCGTTGCTAGTCACACCGTTACCGCAGTTCTCAACGAGGTCTGCGTTGTAGATGAGATATAGAATGGGTGAGATCGGCGACCCCTGGGGGATGCCTGTAGGTGTCGGGATTCGATCGGATGTGCCCTCGGGCATGCGGATCCTTGTGCTTCGATTGGTCAAGAAGGCCCTCGCCCAGGGAACGAAATGTCCCAAGCGACGTTTCTTGAGGTTGTGTAGTAGACGTGACATTGTCGTACGCTCCAGACACGTCCAGCATTAGCAGAGATACCACTGGCTTGCCTTTTCCCCATGCGGTTTTGATTCGGTCGATGATAATGTGGATAGCATGATCGGTGGATATGCCCTTTCGCCCGCCTAGATGGGTTCGTGGGAGTAAACCGTTGGTTTCTGCTGCGTAGCTGATCCGTCGCGCGACAACTGCCTCCAGAAACTTTCCGAGCGTGTTCAGCAGCGCGACGGGTCTGTAGGATTTTGCGAGCTGGTAGTCACTTTTGCCTTGCTTCCGGAGTACCACCGTGATTGAGCGCTGGAAATGTGACGGGTTGTACCCCGTGTTTATGCATGCGTTGAATAGCTGGACCACTGTTTCTAGAATCACCGGTATCTCGATAAGCTTGTGCCAGAGAGAGTTTGGTATACCGTCTTCTCCGGGTGCTTTCCCTGCTTTCGCTCCTCGCACCGCCTCCTGTATCTCTTGAGCGGTGACTGCTGGAAACTCGATTTGCTGTGGGTACAGGAATGAGTCTGTGTCGGATAGATCGGCCGGCGGTGGTTTTGGGAAGAAGGCAGTCCGGAATGCCTCTGCCTTTTGCTCAACTGTTTCTGCGAGAGTTCCAGGCATTTGGGGATCCTGAATTTTCAGCGAAGGGGTGATACCCTTCTCATATGCCCCGTCTCGGTTCCTTGCCCATTTAGCCAATCGCCACATACCCTGTGGGCCATCTTCAACGACCTGCTGGACTCGGCGCCGGTGCGCTCTTGACAAGGTTTTCTTGACGAGTCGTGTTTTTCTGTTGCGTGCTTCAGAGTAGCACATCCAGTCGTAGGGGTCTTTGGTTCTCGTATGTCTGCGACGGAGGCGACGAACTTCTTTGACTGCAACTTTACAC